GCCTACTATTCTATATTTTCTTTTTTTGGACCCATCGATCAAATTTGTATATTTAATTGTATATATTTAATTGTATATATTTAATTGGAAGAAATTAAGTTCAGGTTATTTTGCTCTATGCATTTTTAAAGAGAAACAGACCTCCTTTCTCTATTGTTTTGGATTGCTTGTTCTATATGGAATGGAATAGAACATTTTGTTTTTGCTTTTGCAGTGGCAATGGTAACACGTTATTTTTGGGGACAATAATGGAACTGTTGATAAGAACCCTGTGCTGTGGTTTGATATTTGGTCACTGGTTTCATATACTTTGAGATCTTTCTTTCTATGGTATAGATATTGGTTCAATGATCTAGTGATATATTGATATATATTTCAGGGTTTACAATCTCTAGGTAGTAATGTTAAACTACGTGATGTTTGTCTATCAGAGTGTGTCAGTATCACAGATCTAGGACTACAGAAATTTGCTCAACAATGTAAAGAAATACAGAGACTGGATATCTCACATTGTACGGTAGGTAGATGTAGATGGTTTATTGAGAAACTTGAGAAACACTGGATCAAAATCCTTGATTGCAAAATCTTAGAGATGCGCTAGCAGTACAATCCCAATAAAATCACTGGATTTACAAACATCGGTTATACAAGAAAGGTGGCTATTGCAGTCAGGATATTAGATGTAGTTTGTAATAACTTGACATTGTGAAGATGCTTTGCAATAAGCAGCTTTATTAGAGAATATCAATAGTGTGAATTCCTTTTTCCTTTTATTTCAGCATATAACAGACAGTGCTATAAAGAACCTGGCGTTCTGTTGTAGAATGTTATCGTTTTTAAACCTATCTGGATGTAAACTAGTAACTGATATGAGTATACAGTATTTATCAGGTGTCTGTACATATTTATTAGAACTGGACATCAGTGGCTGTATCTTAGTCAGGTAGGTGCCTATAATGAAATGGGAGAACGAGATGGCTTTTAAAGTTGTAAAAAGTGTTCGAGTTGTTTGTAAAGAGTGTTCCAAGTTGTCTTTGATACCAGTAGTCCGCATTGCTTTTTAAAATTAGTTTCCAGTTTCCACATGTGTTATGTGTTGCTACACA